GGCCTGTCTTCGAAGAAACTCACTCCTCTCCAGGCCTGGGAGCGGGGCCCAGGTGGTTTTTCCTCTCTGAAGATGGTGTGTATGTGGCTGGTATGTGGCTGCTACTAGGGACTGCCTTGGGCTCAGTCAGGAGTCTTTTCCTGTGACAGGGAGCCCCGCCTTCTGGGGCTAATGGCTGCCTGAGAGTTTTGGGGGGCCTGGGGAACTGACCTAAAGATGACCCAACTTCAAAAAAGTAATTTCCTGGAGGCCAGGGTAAGGGAGGGGAAGGCAGGAGGAGGCCAGATCCTGATGCAGCAGCCTGGGCCTTGTGCATGTGACTGCCCAGGGCTGCAGCCTGAGGGCTATGCCCACTAGGAAGGGGGAGGACAGAGTTCCGACTGCTACCCAAAGCCCCAGCATGAAGGGCCAAAGTGGCCGGAAACTTATGTGTTTATAAAAACCTCTTATCCTCAGAGCATCTCTCCTGGCACAAGCTGGGGCTGCCGCCCGCCTGCTGCTCACCCACCAGCATGGCTCTTGGGGCACGTGTGGAGGGAACGAGCCAAGCCTAGCTGCAGTGGGTCCATTAGGGCCTCCCCTTGATGGGGCCGAACTGTGGAAGGCCTCACATCCCTGGAGAGCCGCTTTCGTGGGTCTGTCTGTTTACAAGTGGGCTGCTCTCTCAGGCCAGGCTGGGCTCCGGGTGTTGCCAGGGTTTGGAGCTGCAGGTCCCTCTCCTTGCTCCCTATGACCTTGGGCCTCCGCCAGTGTCCCGCTTATTCCTCACCTGCTGCCAGGCCTAGGTTCGAAAGCGGGCTCTATCTTTTACAAGCTGCAAGATGAGGGCAAGAACTTCTGAGTCTCAGTTTCTTCATCTACAAAACGAGGATGACGATGGGGCTGTCAGAGTATTAAATGAGAGGAAGGATCGCAGGTGCCCACGTGGTACTTGTTCCCTCATCCTCTTTGACGCGCCCACTCCCCAGCTCCTGACTGCCCTTGGAGGGGTCGCAGAAGTCCCAGCAAGTACTGACCTGGCAGGGTCCACACATACTTGGGGGAGTGATTTCCTAGGGGTCCCCGGGGCAAGGAGTGCCCAGGGGGCGCCCCCCAGTCTAGAGAGCGGGGGTCAGGAAGAGAAGCCGGAGCGGTGCAAAGGGAATGCTGGCCGCCATCTCTGGCCCTTCTCAGGCTCCCTCTCCAGGCCCAGTGTTTATCCCTCCGCCGCGGCTGCTGACACGCGTTGCTGACACCCGCCCAAGGCTGGCCTCGGCCCCGGGCGCGGAGGGCGCGGAGGGGGCGGCGGGCCACTGGCAGTCCGCCCGGGGGGAGCCACGCAGCCAGCCCGCGGGCCGGGCGGGGGAGGGGGCGCGCCGCCGGGCCGGGCCGGCTGCAGCACCTGTGTCGGGGCACAGCTGCGTTCGTCCCCTGCTGGGGACCCCAGGCCCGCTGTGCTTCCTGGGGCGGGGAGTCCCCGGGCGGGCAACTGTGTAGGACAAGAGAAGGCGGGGAAGGGCTGGGAACCCTGGGGGCAGGGGTCCCTGCTCACGTGCCTGCTTATCCCCGCCCCCCAGGCCGCAAGTTCATCATCGCCAACGCTCGGGTGGAGAACTGCGCTGTCATCTACTGCAACGACGGCTTCTGCGACCTGTGCGGCTACTCGCGGGCCGAGGTGATGCAGCGACCGTGCACCTGCGACTTCCTGCACGGGCCGCGCACGCAGCGCCGTGCCGCCGCGCAGATCGCGCAGGCCCTGCTGGGCGCGGAGGAGCGCAAAGTGGAGATCGCCTTCTACCGGAAAGATGGTAGGCGCGGGCTGGGGCGGGGCGGGGCGGG